CCTGTCGTAAACTTCCTGTTCGTGATAGCGTCAACGCGCCGTCACTCTTGCTGTTCGTGATACTCCATACTTCCGAGTCCACAGAAGAACTACAGCTCGATCGTATGACTCGTTGATCCGTTCAACCTTTTCCAAAGATCGAAAGTCAACGCATCGCCGCCCGTCGACGAGAATAAGTCGAGATGATTGCGTCTCCCATCGGGAATTCCAAGTTGACAAAGTTTGAACTTCGGGGATCGAGATCATCATGAATCCAACCTTTGAAAATCTCAGAGTTTTTCGTGGCTCAAGGAACAACTCTAGGCATGAATCGTCAGTTTCTCTCAAGTCCCGTGGGAAGCCTCTCGATCGGGCATATAAGGCGGATATCCGTCGGGCCCACGATGCTGGTCTTAGCGTTTGCGATTCCTGACCATAAACTTCTTCTCTAACCTCTTTCAGTCAGTCCCGTTCTAACATTCCCCCTCTTTACACAATGGCTCTCAAGCAATTTTTGTCCATGTCCTTCGCCGCGGCTCTCCTAGCGGCACTCTTCTCCGCAAAGTCTCGGTCCCAGGAGGAGCTTCAGATCCCACTCGGCAACTCTTGCCCGCGCCCGCGCTATACGGTACGGACGTTGTCATATGATCCACTCATTCAGCACATTGAGAACTTTATCACCCCAGATGAGTCCCAATACCTGCTGCAGATTGCGTACGTCAGAGCTCCTCCATATTGCTGAAGATTCGGGGTTTACTTGCTGACTGACTCAATACAGGCAGCCTAGGTTCCAGCGGTCTCGCGCCATCGGCACTGACGGGCGATCCATTGCTGCGCAGGAACGAACCAGTTCCACAGCGTACCTGTCTTCGGATGATTTTGTCGTCCAATGCATCAGATCCCGCGCTTCGGAGTTTCAGGGCTACGTAGACCTTGACATGATGGAGGATCTGCAAGTGACGCGGTACTTGGAGGGGCAGCAGTACACGAATCACTATGACTGGGCAGCGAACCCCGCGGCGAGAAACCAGACGACAAACAGGGAAACAACCTTCTTCGCCGTTCTCGATGTGGAGTGTGCCAGCTGCGGGACACGGTTCCCCAAGATCTCCGTGGACTGGGGTGTCGAGGATGAGCGGTGGTGCAACCTGGTCGACTGTGCGGTCCAGACAGAGTTGACAGTGCGAGCGGTCGCCGGTAGTGCCGTCTTCTGGCGGAATCTCCATTCCGATGGGACCGGAGATTCTCGAACGCTACATGCCGGCCTTCCGGCGGTAGGCGGCAAGAAGATCGGGTTGAATATCTGGACACGCCGGGAGGTTTAGTGTGCATGTGAGGGGGGGGACTATCTCCCCGGGATATTGGACGTTTCGAAACAGCGCACCAATCATCTTTCACCCTTTTGACTCCGCTTTGTCACACGTTCTGTTAGCCTTTAGACCTTGTTTGTCCTGGTTAATCGAGATCTATCTACAAGGGCCACAAAGTCTACATGCTCAAATTCGTACTCCTCTCACATGACACCTGCTAGTGAACGACACAAATGGAGCTCTCTCTAAAGGCTCCGGTAAAGGTTTACACTAGTGCTTTCTAGATCACAGCCATCTACACGCGGAAGACGGCAGCCCCTTTTTAGACTTTTGGGCAGAAAGACGGTGGCATGAACCTTGATGATATTCAGCGTGTAGTTTGTGAAGTGCGGTATCCCATTGGGTACATCGGTAATGGCGGCTATTTTGGCTCGAATCATTGGACGCGGCCGCTAGAGCCAACTCTTACGGAGCCCAAAGCTTGTTTGTGGTTCCCGAAAGCTTCTTTTCTGGTAGACGTACACGCTAGCAGGCATCAGACTCTTGAAGATGGCGAAAAGACGAGGGCCACATCGCACCTGAGTAGCTCGGAAGATCGACACGTACTAGAGAGAGCTCGGATTGCGAGGAAAGGAACTACCTCGTGCCCTGCCGTGCCGATATCTGTACAACAGCAACAACAACAATCTGAACGAATCTGCTTCTCTCTCTGGTCTCCCACCTCTCGAGACCTGCCTCATCTTTCAAACTGACATTCGCCATTTCTCATATCGTAAAACGCCTTGTCTAACTTTTGCAATGGAAGAAAGCAAGTTGCTTGGACGCAACTCCTCCTCGGACGGTGATACGGATTCTTCTGAATTTGTGGACGCCTTGGAGCGGGGCTCTATCCGCAAGACCTCCATGTCACGTTGGGAGATGTTTCGTTGCTGTCTTGAGATCATCCTCATTCTTTGTCTTCTGGGAACGACCACTACGGTATTCAGACAGAACGCTGGGCGACAGGACACGACGACTTGGCCGGCGGGGAGCGACTACAATCACTTTGTCCCACATGGCAAGCCACACTTCTTTACCTCATGAATGACGCTGACCTGCAGAGCAGATGTGAGCTCGAGAGGGGTTCCTAAGCCGTCTGGCCCTGATCAGTACGAGGTCACTGCTCATGCCTTCCATGACCAGAGTGTCCTAAACGAGACTCTTGATTCTTGGCAAGGTCTCTCCCACGGTAGGCATCTATTGAAGCAGGCTTTGAACACCGACTAACGAGACTACCAGCCTTTGTCCGGGCCTCCCCATATGACGGCAGCGGGCCTCAGAAGCTGTTTTCAGGTGACTTGTTCGAGATTGCAGCTTTCCATCAGATCCACTGTTTGGTAAGCCATCTCATAGATCTTTTCATTCTTCGCACTTCTGACGCCCGAGTCACTAGGCATCAATCCTGGAGGACTTTGGTCTCTTGGCTGCCGGCGTTCCCAAGGAGGAGCTGCCTGGTTATCATAGCGGAGTCACACTAACGTGGGAGGAGCACAAGGCGCACTGCTTCAACTACGTCCGACAGGCTCTAATGTGCTTTGCTGACTCCACTGCCGAAGGCCATATTGAGGGTGACACGCACCGGGTAGCTGATCATGGGGTAATGCATGTTTGCAATGATTTTGATGCCCTACTGGCGTGGTCAAAGGAACCCGAGCGAGCATTGCCCAAGAGTTGGCGAGTGACAGATTAAGGATAATAAGAGACAGTTTGTAGCAGACAGATTCGTAGTTGTCGCACAACTTACATACGTTCTCTTACCTGGCTTACTTTGCGCCTTGTGATATGTTGATATTGCTACCAAACGTACGAGTCGAGTGTTGTTATATATGGCAAGAATAGCGGAATGCAGACTATGGTGTTCAAGGCTCTTATTCAGTGGCCGTTTAGAGGTTAAGTTTGGCGCCTATTAGATAACAGACTCGAGTGGCTCAGTGACAATCTCATATCTCCGCTGTGAGAGCACACCAGTCATATACAGTCATAGTGAAATTTTTCATTTGTACGGCCAGAAAAAAGCTTTGTTGTACTAGTCTCAGTCACTAGTCTCAGTCTAGCCACTTTGTCTGGTTGTACGATCCCTAGTCTCACCCCATGTGGGAGTGTCCATGGCCGTGACCAGGCACACCTTCCTTCGCCTTTCCCGGAAACATTCTTGAGAAGTGCCCACAGTCAGGGTACTGAATCTTTGCCCTGACCTCAATGTCGTCCGGCTCATTGATCCTCGTCAGAACCTGAGTACAGTGCTGCGTGTGCGTCAAGACGTCCTCGCGGTGAACCATGCGATTCTCAGTCAACGCCTTGTGGAACCGGAGAATGTTGTATGCGCAGTGCGTTTTGTGAAGCCTGTTGGTAAGATAGACGGGCTGGGTGTCGGAGCCGAACTGCTCCTCAGTCACAGATGCTGTCTTGTTCTGGTCGGTGTAGAACACCCACGGCCCGGCGTTGCGGAACTTGTCCGTCAGCTCACGGTCGAAGCACTCCTCTGGCACCCAGCAGAACGAGAGCACGTCAAAGTGACAACCGAGTGCTTGAGCCTCACTGGACGAGTTGCCACAAGGGTTCTCGATGATGCCTTGGGCGTTGGTGCGAGCAGGCGGGACGATAGACTGGAAGACCCAAGTGACGGAGAAGGCAAAGATGATGCTCAAAGCTAGACCGATGAGGAGCTTGGAGAGAACCTCGCGCTGGTAGCGGCGCTGAAGCTGTGATGAAGAGAAAACAGGAGTTTCCTTTTCGTGCTCATCCTCGGTGAGCATAGGGCGGGTGCTATCTTCACTATCGTAAGACATGGTGTCGTTGAAATGATGAGATTGAAGTCAGACGTGTAAGTGATATTCCTGAAAATCCTTTGCAAAGGCAATGTGAGAGCAAGACTTTGAGACTGTCTACTGCGGTGATCCGATGAGGCGACCTTTGGCATTTGGGTCCAGGGGCATTGCATCTACCCGATTTGATTCTACTTGGCCGTGTCATTTGCTGACTTTCTATGATATCTCATGACTCTTGCACGGCTCGGAAAATGAGAGAATCATCTGCAACCGTACTTTACTACATGGGGTTTTGACTTTGGTTCTGCCTCCCGACGAAGAAGCTCAGCGCATAAATGCGCCGTATACAAGATTCATAGTCTATACTTCAGCAAATTCCGCCGTTCCGCCATTGTGATGGATTTTCATTATTGAGGAGTACGATCGGCGATGGACTCCTATTCGAGAACCGAAGTCGAGTGCCGAACAGAGTCAACGTGACGATGTCAAGATCAACACAGCTCTGTCATTGAGTTTGTGTCGGTCCCATGTTTTGACTTTTGGCAGTCAAAGCTTCGACGGGAGGGAGTCGTCATTTGCACCCGAACTGCTCCACCCCGGACTGAGTCGCCAGCTAGAGACGGAAAAGCCCAACGACATCTGCGGGCGTTCGGCGAACCCGTTTTCGAAATAGTGCCTATTTTGATTTGTTTTTCTAGCAATTCGCACTCGAACGGCATTCTTTTGCCGGTATTGTGGTCAAGGATTAGATGATTTTTCTTGCCATTGGATGACACATTAGTCGTAGGGCACCCTGTGGCCGTTGCAGTCGGGGTTCATTAATCTCTAAGATCAGAACCTCCCTTTGATGAACCAGATGGTCACCCGTCACTCTTCTATTCTCTCAACATAAAGTTAAGTCACTATGAACTTCTTCAAGGCAGACAAGTCAACACAGTATGTGTCTGTAGAAGAGAGCTCGGAGTGTAGTGAAGACCAGCTGCCTCTGCGAAGGAGGCCCTCGTCACCGATTGTGTCGGTTTCTAGATCTTATTACTTTATTTCGTTGCTTTTATTTGCCATTTTTCCTGTACTGGTGATTGCCTTGTTTGTTCTTCACACTCGGCTAGCGAGTGCTCGAATCGACAGCGGCTTTCTTAAAGGCTTCCCAACCGAGTTAGGTATGCCATACAGTGTTCTCAAACGATAGGAAGATAACGAGCTGACGTGAAGATTTACATAGAACCAATCAAAGGTGTACTTGCTAGTGAAACAGTACGTTTCACTGGCGGCCTTCACTTCTACAAGAATGGGACCTTGTACCGTGAGGTAATTGAAGGACAGCCTCAATATGTCGGGCCTCCATCGCCAGAGATTGATGCAGCATGGAAGAGTCTGCTGAAAGGTGACTGGCCAAGAGAGTCCAACCTCGAACCACACTGACCATGTTCAGGCCAATACATGAATCTTGTTGGGAGCGAAGCATCGAGCATGGTCGGGCGCACGTGGAAAGACAGCCATGGGAACTATGAAGTGGCGTAAGTTTCGCATTCTTTTTAGTAGACTTTTCGGTAATGGACTAAGAATTTTCTAGTCTAGATGTGATGCATACCCTCCATTGCGTGGTAAAGTACCTCAGGCCCGTGATATGTCTGCCGCGATGACTAACACGTCGAAGAACAAAGTGAGGATGGCTCTGGATCCAGATTATTACAAGGAGGAGGAAAGCCCCAGAATTCATAGGATGCACGTCGGTAAGCTATGTTCCTGTCCTAAACTTCAAAAACAGTGCGGCTAATGGCAGCGCTAGACCACTGCCTTGACTATCTTAGGCAGACGGTACAATGCCACGGTGACCTGACTCCCATGGTTTTCAGCTGGTCGGATGATGCTGGCAGGGTTGTTGCCGACTGGAAAGAACCTCACACATGCCGCAACTTTAACCGTGTTCGCAGTTGGGCTGAAGACCACTTTCGGCCATGAACCACGTATTGTGCACATGCTAATCAACCCATTCATACGGTTTATTCCACAGCAAACTTTATCTCAAAGACCGTTAGAAGGCTCTCGTTACAAATTCAAGATCTAGGAACGAATCTGAAGAAGTATTTGTTTCTAGTTTGTAGACAACGTACTGGTAGAACGGAATAGTATTCGGGTTTAAATTTATAATCTTGACCAAACTCTTATCCTGCTTCTCTATACTCTTACTATTATTGCTAAACTTGCTGTTCTTGTGTTTATATTGCATGGTATATGCCATTTGTGTTTTCAAATGAATGCTGAGATCACTCCATGTCTGTTCACAGTTTGTAATCCGCCGACAGCAGTCTGCGCAATCTGTCACCAAGTTCGCCGGGCAACCAGAAGAAGTGCGGGAATAAACGAGCGGTCCAAATGGTGAGCCAAGCAATATTCTCTAAATTCAATAAGTAGTAAGCTAATTCTCGGTTGGCAAAGCAGCGGGACAATGGGACATGCCCTTTGCTAAGGTAGGCACCAGATATTGTAAAGCTGCTCATATCTACCCTTTTGCTGCATGATTGGGCAAGCTTGAACGCTCTAATAAAAGTTTTCGGACGGGGGACGGCTCAAAGATTCATTGATGCTCTCAGAATGGTCTGCCTGGACTCTTGCGCCGATCTGACCAGCCTGGACCGTATTCCGCATCGAATGTTTGACGACGGCCGAATAGTCCTGCAGCCAATTGATAGAGACATCCATACCAACGGCGACCTCTCCATTCGGTTGCGCGGGCATTTGCTGCAGACACAGGCGAGACAATACGAACCACGCGCATGGACAAGTGATCTGGTGCAAGATCCCTATGAACTGCTGAGGGATTTCCAGCTTGCTGACGACGAGCCTCAAGAAATCTGCCTCGTTTCTTCAGTGACCCAGCGCGAAATCAGTGATGGCCACGAGTTTCATATCACTGCAAAGACGCAAGAAGATCTTCCCAATTGGGACCTCTTCGATCTTAGGTACCGCATTAGTCTGATGAACAATCTGATTAGCGCTGCCGGTATTCCAATAAGAATATTGGCGAATCCAATGAAGAGGTATCTGATGAGGAGCTCGAAGATATTGATGTGGTCGGAGATGCCATCAGGAAACTGGAGGAAATCGCGGAGCAGAGGCCGGAGGAGGCGGATGAGGATGATGTTGCCTGAGTGTTGAGATCCACGCACTTAGGCTGACGGGGCTTCTGACAGACAGTCGCAGTGTAATTCGATGATCACCGAGCAACGTGATCGTTCCGAAACGTATTGGCCGTCCTATCTCCTGTCCTAACGCTTCCGTCCGTCGTGTGGTATCGTGATGTTTAGGCAGATTTTGTGGGGCCAGCTGGCTTAGGAACAGGCAACACCCGCTAACGGCTACCAGGACAAGGATTGAATGCAGCCCATCGTCGAATACAAAAGCTTGTAAAATTGAACCTCATTTTCTGTGAGCTTCCCGAGAAGAAATTCATCAATTTGCACCTGCATACAAGATATTTTCAAGCTACCATCTCTTTGAAAATTTCGACCTTCGAATATCTTGACACCATCTCAGCCTTATGCACCATGTCCAGAAAAGGCACCTCTGTCAACTCTTCCCGACCACTTACACAATTCTCATTCGCCATCTTCACCAAACTCCCACCCGAGCTTCAACTTGAGATTCTTTCTCACTGTCAGCAAAACGACCTCATCTGCATGTCCCTTGCATCACACTCTCTACGCGCCATGATGCTTCCACTAATTCCGGCAAAACCCTCGCTACTTTCTTACGACCAAGTCAACCCTTCAGAAACGATCAAGTGCGAATGCGGTGACACTTCAGCAATCGGGGTGGTCCAAGACAATTACTGGCATCGGAGAAAACGCCACGTCTACAAGTACGCCGAGCCCCCGAAAAGATGCTCAAACTGGACGCCCTGTCGATCGTATGCCACCGACCACGCTATGTGCCGGCGGCAGTGGTGTAGGCACTGCTCGTGTACCACGTGCCCGCTATATGCAAGGCTACGCGGGTCCATGGGAGACCTGAGATACTGTGCCGATTGCCGAAAGTTTACGAAGCGCCCTCAGACAAAGAAGTATAAGGGGAGATGTGAGTCTAATGTCGAGCAACTTGAGTGCGAGTAGCTGGTGGCTGACACGATCCAGGCTTGCATGGCCGCCCCCGGGTTCGACGTAATCCAGACAATCACTGGACAGCCAAAAAGGGAGTGTCGTATGGATATCGCTGGTGGCGAAGATGGGGCACTTGCGGTATCGATGCATGGGGATATCCAGACGGGGACAAAACTGCGGACATTAGCAGAAGGAGGAATGCGAGAGTTGTCTAGAGAGTCGTTGGCTCTCCAATTAATCCAATTTTGGGTTCATCATTACAGGTGCAAACTTACTTGCGTTACCTATGGGATCTCTTAGTAGTGCGTTGTGCCTTGTACAGCGAGACTTCAGACCTCTTCACCATCCGGGGCTTGTATAGACTATTCTAGCATTTGCTTGTAACTAGTCATCGCTTTTTATAATATCAATACAACCACCGTCAGCAGGAAATGCTTTTCCTCACGAGCCCGAACCTTTCGCGGATAATGTTGGTTTCATAGATGAATTTGCCGCCCAAGTTACATGATGATCCTGTGGGTTATTCTGTAACACTTACGAAGCCTTCCGCTTTCTCTAGGTTGTATTGCCTCTTTGTCGTCGTTCGACCTCGGCAACTTGCACTAATAATAAAGTAGTACGGAGATGTAGGTAGGTAACTGGGGTCAAGCTCCACTTACCGCGGCGCCATCCTTAGACCCACATCCTGCTACCGACTGGCTGGCTACAGCTCCTGTTGACTTTTGGTGAAAGAGGGGCTATCGATGAACAAGAACTTGCCCAGGCGATGGTAGAATAAACGTACGATCTCAGGAAATTTTGCGCGTAGAACGTTTCTGGGACCACCCAGCATCGAAAACGAGCTTTCAAAATTCAGTTGTTGAAAAAGACAGCTGCTGCGTCTGGGAAAAGCACAGCACAGCAAGGAGCTCAGAGCTTGGCCCGTTACCTCCTCGTAACGATATGCCAACAAGATGATCACTCAAGCTCAAGTTCTCTCAAGCTCGGCACGCTCAGAGACTGCCGATTGGCTCGGCGCATGCAGGATCGTTCACGTCGAGCTACCTAAGTCAAACTCTCTATTCCATCCTTGTGGTCAGTTGGAGGACTCTCCCAGGGCGACTAGTCTCTGAAGGGCCAAAGAAAGAAAGAAAAGACAATTTCTACTGTGTAGTCATCATTATCATTTTCTGAAACCCTGGTGACTCGGAATCGAGTGGAGATCCGGGGTAACATGCGCCATGACCAGGGCCCGGCCATGCACCCCGCGGCTGGCAACCCCTCACTAGGAAAGGACAGGCGCTGGTGCCGTCATAGTTCCGGCCCCATGTCACGGCTGGTATGCTTCGTGGATTCATAACTTATTACTTGTTCCTCTCAGCCATCGATCTACGTTTCTGAAATATCTCTTCTGGTTATATGTTTTCCCCGTCACTGCCTTGTCGCTCAAAACATACTATTCTCAACCATGGCACCCCTTCGAGATACCGAGCGCGTTCAATTGCCCGAGACCTGGAACCCCGAAAGCGTTTCATTTCCACTCCGAAGAGATCTGCCTAGCATTCCGGGAGCCCCAAAAGATGCTGCCTGGGTTTGGGGCGCTGAAGATAATGTAGCTGCCATGGTTCCCTTTGCCGAAGGGTATTAGTGAGCTCATTAGCCGTTAGGTTGGCCGCCTCAATCTTCTCACCCGCGCACGTGTGCTGGCTGCATCAAAAGCAATCAAAAGTGGCGAGGTCATACCGGTAAAGTACGAAACTCTCGAATCCCACCGGCACAATTTTATCTCAATACGCGGGTAGCCTACCTCTCAATGTCCCAGGCCAGCCTGCCTTCAATCGAGAGCCCTTTGTCCACCACATCAAGACTCTGGCTCCTGGGTTGTTTTACGATGACAACTACTACATGAACACCCAGAGCGGCACTCAGTGGGACGGCTTCAGACATGTACGTACCATCCCCCCTCATAGGTGTACTACATATTGAATGCTGATCCACACCAGTTTGCTCATTTACCTTCTGGGACGTTTTACAACAATGTAGGGCACTCATATTCCTCTTGTCCCGTGAACCGTGATGAAATTGATCGAATGCACTGTCAAAACAGACCAAGGGACAAGACATCGAGGGACCGGCCAGTAATCTGAAATGTTCAATTCACCACTGGGCTGAGCGTGGCATCGCTGGCCGCGGCGTGCTTTTAGATTTCTGCTCTTATGCGCATGCAAAGGGTCTTCATTTTAATCCATACGACACTTGTAGCATCTCTTATCAAGACTTGCTCGAATGCGGCCGAGCGCAGGGCATAGACATTCGGCCCAAGGCGCAAGGAGGCGACATTGAGATTGGCGACATCCTCTTCATCCGGAGTGGGTGGGTCGAGGCCTATCACAGCAAAAGCCCAACCGAACGCGCCCACCTGGGACTCAGGGGCCACAAAGAAATCAAGTTTGGCGGCGTAGCTCAAGAGGAATCTATACTTGACTGGCTGCATGACTGCTACTTTGCTGCTGTTGCTGGGGACTCGCCCACATTTGAAGCTTGGCCGACCAAGGCGGGTCAGTTGTGCTTTTCTTCCCCCATTCTTCGAATCAAGGGAATGCATGTGCTTGCGGCTGGGGATTCGCTGACTAAAAGTATTAGAATACCACCTTCACGAGTATATCCTGTCCCTTTGGGGGATGCCTTTGGGTGAGATGCTCAACCTAGAAACATTGGCTCGTCGATGTCGTGAGACGAACCAGTGGACATTCTTCTTCACAAGCGCTCCAGCAAATTGTCCACGTAAGCATTATGGTTTCCCTCATAAGCGAGCATTTTACTCACATAGCTTCAAGAGGGGGTTAGCAGCCATGTCAATGGCACTGCGATTTTGTAGTCATGCTCGCTATACGGCTGGACTAGACTCGACATGTTTGAAGCCGAGGTGGCCAGTATAGACTGTTTCAGAGAGGAAGGAGGTTCAAAGCCACCTTCACTTGTGTTGCATGATTTCTTGTAATCCGTTTTCTCTGTTCTGCGGCAATAAACAACGCCTTAGTGGAATATTGCATGTGTATATGGCCGTTGGTAGAGCATTTTCCTCCCTTGATGTAGTCTTACAAGAGTACGCTCGTAACCCGCTCCCTGATGTCCACGTTTCCTATGTTATACGTGACAGCCTGTCCCATCGTATTCCGATTCAAGATGCACGAAGTTCGAGACAGACTTGCTGCTTACGAGCAAGAGAAACTCAGTAAGCCGAGGGTATTTGCACAATATTTTGCGCCTAGCGGTCAATGACTTACATATCCAACGCTTTGATCTATCTGACTTATTGTGTGACCGAGGCACGGCAACGTGGGGTGGATCCGTTGCCGGCGGCCGCTCGCCAACTTGGCATAGGTACCGAGGCGTCTAAGGCCACTCGGCTGTACTTGGTCCCTTGCAGCTTCATCGTTTGGTTAATCGGTACACGTTCGGATAGACGAACGGTTCATGTCTATACCACTGAAAACGCATAATAAGTTCCAGTGCACTTCTTAGTCCTGGCGCATAGCTGTGGTCTGCTAATCAGTGTCTTTCTGATCCATATGGGTACTTGAGCGTCGCAAAATGAGAATCGAGGGAAGGACATTTATCGTATCCGGCGGGTAAGATAGGGATTTGCCAAGAGTTCTGAGCCACGATTACTGACCTCTGGCACAGCGCATCCGGTTCGGGACAGGCCTGCGTTGAGCACCTCGTCGAAAAAGGCGGCCATGTGGCTATTTTGGACATATCTCAAGACGCCGGTGCCGTCCTTGTGGACAAGCTGGGCTCGCAAACGAAATTCTTCCCGTGCGATGTGACACAAACCGAATCTGTCACAGAAGCAGTCAATGGTGCTGCACAATGGAGTGCGCTAACTAAGATGCCGCTTGGAGGTGTCGTTGCTGCTGCTGGTGTAGGCGGGCCTGCCACTGTGAGTTGCCCTTCTTAACTGCAAGGAATGGAGCACTGACGCGACTTTTGACAGATCCTAGACAGACACGGTGCCCCTTTCGACCTCAAATTGGTCGATTGGGTGCTGAACGTGAATCTTCGAGGTACTATTGATCTAGTGCGACAGTCAGTAGCCCAACTGGCCAAGGTTGAACCAATCGAACCTGATGGAGAGCGTGGAATCGTGATCATGGTTGCCTCATCAGCCGCTTTCGACGGTCAGAAGGGACAGGTATCGTACGCGGCCTCCAAGGGCGCAATCACGGCAATGACACTACCCATGACCCGGGATCTCGCCCGATTTGGTATTCGGGTTGCTACTATTGCACCTTCGCTTTTTGCAAGCGCCATGACATCGCGCATGACTGGCAAAGTTCGGACAAGCTTGGAGTCTGCCATGGAGTTCCCCAAGCGGGCAGGACAGCCAGACGAATTTGCAGCAGTCGCCGTACACCTGATCGAGAACATTATGCTCAACGGGACGGTGATCAGACTCGACGGCGGTATGAGAATGCCGAGCAAGATGTAACTTGATAGCCAGTATGCAAACGGTCCGCTTGTAGTGTGCCAAAAAACGAATACAACCTACCTTACAAGCAGACATCCTACGACCCGAAATGGATCAAGCTTCCGTGATATGAGACAGGTATGCACAACAGATGACATATGATGCGTGATTACAGCGCTTCGAATGGCAGAATTGCCTTGGGGAGAAGATGAAGCTACCCATCAAGGCGGCCTCCACCAAATATAGTGCCTGACATATCAGCTGTCATCCATGACTGTGATGTTTTGAAATGGCTCCCAGCCAAGCCCCCTAAAAGAAATAGCTGGGTCTAAGTGGGGATAACATCTTGCTACCGAGTTGATCAGTGCGACGAGCCGAGATTCCTACACGGACGATTTCACCCAATAATAAGTCCAAGATGAGAAGCACAAATACGAGAAGACAGATATGCCCAAGTCTTCATGAATGAGATGAATGAGAAAGCGTACCAGTACTTTTCAGGCACTTTGCCAAATGTTATAACACGTAATACTCGCATTCCCTCCATGAATAGCCTGCTTTCTTACATTTGTTGGAGCGGCACTGGTGGAATACCTGACTGCGAACTATGATTGGCCATAGAAATAATTTCTCGCCCTAATAGGCAATACCGCTATCCTAGAAAGTACACCAATATTGAGAACACACATTGGATGTGGCTGTCGCTCGAATGTCGTTTCGTGACGTGCTTTGTGATATTTAAAATAGTTACGCGTTTATCGCGAATCGCACTTCAGTTGGCCCATGTCCGGCTGCGGTGGCTTTGCATTCAACCAGATGGTACTCCGTATAAGCTCGACAAAATAGGAGCAATCCGTAGCAGGTGCCAAGTTTTGCGCGGTGCCGCGGTTCCCTCAGCGGCCCCGCTCAAATTCGGTCCAGGCCTCCGGCAGTGGGGGACTTGGGAGCCGATTCTGCGCCTCTCGGCATCCAACCCACCGGCCGAGTTTGATCTCTGTCTTGAATAAAATGGGCCGAACCTCGGCAGGACAACGAATGATAGAGCTTACCAGGGATCGCGGCCATGGAGCGATGCTGCCGAGCACGATGGGGCGAAACCCCTCTCTGAAGCTGCTATGGTTATTGGCAGACCAGCGTGACTAGGAATTCCTCTGCTTGGAGGTCTGGTAACCTTTATGATGAAGCAGCCAGTCAATCCGAAATTCTGAACCAATGCCACCAAGTACCACAACATTACAAGAAAGCCACGGAGTATTGGCTTGGAAAGCATCCCCGGAGTATTGGCTTGCAAAGAAGCCCGAGGCCGGATGAATTAGGCCATGGCCGAATCATGAGGCAAAACAGAGTCGCACATCCAAGTGAATATTTGGTGGTCAATTGTTCGCGTTCTGCAGCGGCAATAGATTCACCAAGCCGAGGCTTTGCACAAAAGTCCTTTTGCCTCTTCTGGCGTGCACAGGCAATTCCAGTTGGCAACTTCACGGGGCAGATGAATGGTCCCGTTGTTCACCTTACCTAACCGAGTTCTCACATATCCGCCAAGGGTATCTTTATCCGTGCTTCCGTATCTACTTACTATTTATTCATGCCGCCGGTCTGCGCCGCTCCCGCATACTCCCTTCGGCAAGCCCTCCACCTCCCCGGTGTTGTCTCAAATTCATTCTACTCTCCAGCCTTAGAATTGCACTCGTCGCCTCGAAGCAAGCATGGCGTTTTCAACATCTTTACCGTCGCATGTCCAAAGGATACTCGACCTCAGAGAAACGCGACCCAAGCACCAGCCATACTCGGTCGCACTCCCAGGTACAAGCCAACCTGGTCGCTCAAATGTGTACAGACATTGGCAATTTGTAGATGGATTGTTGGAGGGTATCGGCCCAGATATATTGACGGCTCACGACATGTTCGAGGCCACTGTGAAGAGCAATCCAAAGTCAGACTATCTGGGCCGCCGACCCTACGACCTCGTTCAGCAATGTCATCTTCCTTGGGAGTGGCTGAGTTTCAAAACTGTCCAGCAACGCAGGAACAACATCGGAAAGGGTCTGGTAGAAATTCACGAGCGCGTCGGTAAGGTCGGAACACAATTTGGCATTGGGCTATGGTGCGAAAACCGACCTGAATGGCCAATTGTCGACCTCGCATGCATGTCGCAATCACTCTTCAGTGTCTCATTATACGACACGCTGGGCCCAGACGCATCAGAGTACATTATTCGTCACGCCGAGTTGACATGCGTTGTTACTTCTGTCACTCATGTTCCAGCACTGATCGCTCTAAAGCCGAACTTGCCTGGGCTCAAGTGTCTGGTGATACTGGACGATGTTCAGCCCCGCTCAGACGACCAAGACTCTCTGTCGCGAAACCGGCTGTTGGTATCCATCACAGAAGCACTCAAGCTGGACCTTCAGATCTACTCGCTGAAAGAAATTGAGCAATTGGGCGCAGCCTCTTCCAGGTCATTGCGGCCCCCACAGCCGGATGATATAGCCACCATCAACTACACCTCGGGAACTACCGGGGCGCCCAAAGGCGTCGTCTTGACACACAAGGGCTCGGTCGCAGCGACAGTTGGCTCTCTCCTTGATGCGGGACTGCCGGGCAACGATGTCATGATCTCCTATTTACCACTAGCACACGTCTATGGCCGACTTTTGGAACACCTCGGCGCTTTCAGTGGGGCCAAGATGGGATATTTCAGCGGCGACATTTCCAATCTTGTAGAGGGTCTGCAGTCCCTCCGGCCGACTATCTTCCCATCAGTCCCAAGAATTTACAACCGATTCGGCGGTATCCTCAAGTCGGCTACACTCGAAGCTTCCGGGATCCGAGGGGCTGTGAGCAGGTACATTGTGGCAACCAAACTGGCGAACCTCGAAGACGCAGAAGCTCCTACTAACAAGCACCCGCTTCACGATAGGATCTGGGGCCGGCAAATCATGGCCACACTGGGCCTCGACCGCGCACATACAATGATTACCGGTTCTGCGCCACTCGACCCAGCATTGCACAAGTTCTTGAGTGTGGTGAGTGGATCTAGCGTGATCCAGGGTTACGGTATGACCGAGACGTACGCTTGTGCATTGGCACAAAATCGGGCTGATGCCAGCACGGGACACTGCGGAGGTCTCGTACCGTCAACAGAGGCCTGCTTGCTTTCCGTGCCTGAGATGGGCTACACCATCGAAGATGTCCCGTGTTCACGTGGTGAACTCCTGCTGCGGGGACCCAACTTATTCAAAGAGTATCTGAAGAACCCGGAGCAAACGGCCGAGAGCTTCACCGAAGACGGTTGGTTCCGCACGGGCGATATCGCATCAATCGACGACATGGGTCGCTTCACCATTGTCGACCGTCGCAAGAACCTTCTCAAGCTCGCTCAAGGCGAGTACGTATCGCCAGAGCGCCTCGAGGGAATATATCTATCTGGCTGCAGATACATCGCTCAGGCCTTTGTTCATGGTGACAGCCTGCAGGCATTCACCATCGGCATGTTTGGTGTAGACCCTGAGCTTTTTGCGCCTCTTGCATCCCAGGTCCTCGGCCGTATAGTTCTATCGTCGGACTTGCCAGCCATCAGAGAAGCGTGTGGGGATTCTGCAGTGCGTGCTCGGGTATTCCAGGATCTCGAGGCGGTGGGCAAGGCGAACAAGTTTGCGAGTTACGAGCGTGTCAAGAACTTTGACCTCTCCATCGAACCGTTCTCGGTAGGCAACGAAACCCTGACACCAACTCTCAAACTTCAGCGGAAGAAAGTCGGAGACTTGTATCGAGACCGGCTCTCGGAATTGTATGCTCAAGTCTTGGAGGGTCGTGAGGACCACATCACAGCTCGAGCTGTTTCCAAGCTGTGAGGTAGAATCAAGCATGTTGAGTGTACTCTCGTGTACCAGAGACGTCAAGAGTTGGGACACTTGAAATGATGATAGGAGAACGAGGTTTTTGAATGCTCTCAACTTACACAGTCGAGGCATAGTGTCTCTGGACAATACAGCTACCACTAGAACGTGCATCACTCATTGTTCAGCCCACGTCCGAGGCGAAAGATATGTTAATGGCAGCGTCTAGAACTTTCTCTACAAATTTGTCAGACCCCATTGCTTATAAAAATCCATCTCCTCCTCGGAGAAGGGAGTTGAGTCAATATTGAACAAAGTAGAGGGCAGAAAGAAATCGTGATCAATGTTTGCATCCCCCAAGAGCGCATCTCCTTCGCTATTACAGGGTGTTTGGCCATGAACTGCATCTTGGTACTCCCTGGATGCCGGTTGCGTAGACACTGGAGTGACCACGTCATAGGCGGTTGTTTCGCGAGTAGCACCCTGCGGCTCACTGGCTTGCAGAGGACCTACGGCTGCTGTTCCTGCATGACTACAACTTCCCCTACGAGATGTTCTTCTGCTTTGAGCCGAGGGAAGAGGCTCAGCCGTCTTCATGATTTGGAGAAAGAAACGATACTGTATCTCGGCGGAACAGTAAATCTTGCCGAGATGGGAAAGAACAAGCATGTGGAGGTTTACATTGTGCAACGCGAGCTGGCGGCCGATCCCCTCTGAACGGCACGCTTCGTGGAGGTGTACCCCAATGGCGGAATTGATGCAGGTCGGCAGTGTGGGGGGTGAAACGTTGAGTAGGTCAGCGCGTACAAGGTCGTTGACGGCCTTTGTGATGGCCGAAGCGGCTGTGGTGTACCTATCCATTGCGAGCGATTGGATATTGCTTGTCTCAAGAGGAGTGTTTGAGCTTTGCTTTGACGGGATGAGGTACGGTCGGTGAAGCGCAATCAACACAGTTCCATGGTAAATCTTGAGGACACTGCGATGCAATAACAAGAGTGGTGTTTCTCCCATCAGTTCCACGCAGACTTTGCTCTGCATTGCCTGGAGAGCACTGTAATGTGATTCGAGAGCCGCGAGCGACGCGGGTGGTTGACCAGGCCGAAAGTTGAGTCGTAAGATTGTTTCCAGTTCAACAGCCAGCTTCAGCAACTCTATCCATAGAGGCACAAGTGTTTCAAACTCGCGAGGAACGAATGTTTCTCGCAGTGTAGCTGGAAGGCTGTCAACATCGTTCAGCACTGCGGCGGGTTCTGGCATTGGTAAGTCGCAATCTTCCGAGTTGATTCGGAGTGGCCTGCCAAAACCGAGACCGAGCCAGACCTCACGGGAGTAAAGACTCCACCAGATACGTGCCCAGATACTACACTGTGACTGGGAAAATGGAGAAGATTGGACCCGTTCGCATGTTGGTTTTCGGTGGAAACCGATGCTGTGTGCTAGACCGGTTGCCACTCCAATCCAGTGGCATGGCCCGTCCAGATCTTCTCGGTCCACAAGGTGATACGAGAGGAGTATGCAAGCCTGTATTATTGTCGGCTTGTCTACCTCGATCTGGCTGTCATAGAGCGCCTTTACAAAACACTGTCAGCGATTATGTTGTCGCTTGCTTTATAACATTGCCGCTTGCCTGGTGGCATGCTATGGAACGGATGGGGTCCATCCAGAGGAAAAGCTCACTTTGGCATGCCGGTAGATATCCTCTTGGTATTCCTTTCTGGTCCTGAACTCAGTAGCTTGCCAATGCTCTGGCTTGACGAACTTGATGAAGTGTTATGTTAGAATGTTGCCATATTGGTCATGGATAGGAACAGGGTAAAAGAGAGGTGGAGATTCCTACCGTAGCGGCAGCAAATAAGACGCTCCACAGCAGGAGGGGGCTGATGCTGCTTGGCTGGTTGGCGAATGCTGAAATGAAACGGCCCGCATCGATGACAGGTAAATACGGGTGAAGATAACGAAAATAGCAACAAATCATGTCATGAAGAGCCGCCGGTTCAGGCAGCGGGCGCGCCATCAGGGGAGATGTGATATGTTCCGGGGGGAAGTAACGACGCTGTCGCTGAATGATGTAAAAGTTGCCTGGCAAAGGACGAGAAGGATAGCAAACGTCGAAGAGCAAAGCCATGCCAGCAGACTCGCCTGTACGCACGAGTATGTCAGTCTTGAGAGGGCTTGCCTAATAGCCAGAAGAGATAGACAACAAACCAATATAGTAGAGAACAGGAGCATTCGGGGTGCCATGTGCATAACTTGGGTCATGTGCGGTACACAATAAATTCTCAATACTGGTCGGGCGATACTGCCGCTTCGAAGATGGGCCCGGATTTGGTTCCGGATCGGGGCTGGAGTGCTCGTCTCCTCGGCCAGGCAGATGCTGTGAAGAGCTGGAGGGCGACGGCATGGCCGGAGATATCGGAGGCGGCGGCGGCGGCGGTGGCGGGACATCAGGCGGGGCCCGGCTGCCGTACACGCGGCAGATTACATTGCCATCCTCCGAGCAGTTTGTGCAGGGTGGGCCCTGAGCGGCAAGATTGCAGCGGACCTTGCGCTGATGGCAGGCAACGCATGCGATGGCAGATCGCTTCCTCTTGGTGCTGCCGGCCATTGCTGCAGCAGCCAGCGTAGATCTGGCGGTAGTGGACGTCTTCGGGGCCGAACTCATTTCATCGTCTTGTCGTCAATTATGGGGTTGGGAAGAGACAGGCAAGGGGGGTGCAGTGTGTTCGGCAAGCGGCAGCAGGCCGAGGCACATATGTAGTAAGTAGGTAGGTGCCGCGGGTCTGGCCTTATGCAAACATTTCCAAGCTTACCGCCTTACCCCAGATTCCTTCCCCGCACTCATCCCCGCAATTTCCCGTCTCCGCTATGGAACCGCCGCGGCCCTATGCGACAACCACGCTAAGCCAAAAGTAGAAATTGGTTCGATTTCTAGCGGTTCGGTGTAATTGTCCACACACTATTCACGGTATCAGGTCCAGGAGCCAGTGGGAGACATCGAGTAGATGTTGCCTTTGACAATTGATCAAATTTGCCGTCTTCACTAGCTACCTCCGTCTCGACCCGAGCTGAACTGCCTTTGAGGGGTTGGTCCATGCCGGAAATGCCTCTCACTATTCCGCCGAGCGCCGCTACCTTGCCTTAATATTGAAGAGAGCTGGGCTGGGTTCATTGATAAGAAGCGTTCTCCAGCCAGGATCAAAGCGAATTGTTCCCACTCATCAACTCCGTTTTGCTTTTGAAAATCACTCAAACAATCGTCTTCGGTCTTGTCCGCACCTAATCCTTTACCTTGCTTTTGTAACTGCCATGGCTCGATTCATTCCAAATGTCTTCAACTTCTGGGTTGTAGTGTTTGTTGCAATTGGCTCCATTGCCTGCTCCTATGGCCTCGCAATTATGGGGTAAGCTCTGATCCTCTTCCTTCTCGGTATATGGTTCTCGGTGTTGTCTCTGAGAATACTAAGTCGCTGACGGGGTGGAATCGTAGAGCCATCATAGGGCAGCCATCGTTCTATGTATCACTAAACCTGGCACCACCGGGCACACCTGGCTATGGAACCACAAGTGCCTTGATCGGAGCCTTTAATGGTACAGCCTATGGCTCTTCCCAAGGACGTCGCGCAAAGCTTTCAACCAAAATGACTAATTATCATTCGCTGTCATAGGCCTCGGTTCTGCAGGCGCCGTTTTTGGAGCAATCTTCAGTGCCTGGTCTGCAGATCGCTTTTCTCGTAAACACAGCATGCAGCTCGGATCCGCGATCATGAGCATCGGAGCTGGACTCTGCGCTGGATCAATCAATACTACAATGTTCTTGATTGCGCGTTTCATTGCAGGATTTGGCCTCGGGATGCTGTTCAGCGTTCGTCCCTACCCACACGCAATTACAGGTCCGAAATTTGCTAAGCAATAGTCATCAACAGATCATCCCCATGTACCAGAGCGAGATTAGCACGCCAGAGACCCGCGGGTTCATGGTGTCGATACATGGTGTAATGATTGGCGTGGGCTATTCGCTGAGCTCTTGGATCAATTTCGGCGTGTACTTCATCACGGCATCCGGCTCTACATCAAGCTTTCCTTGGCGCTTTCCCATGGCTTTCCAGGCAGCACCCGTCGTAATTCTTCTTGCTGGGTCATTTATGCTACCTTACTCTCCAAGATGGCTCATGCGAAAGGGGAGATTCGAAGAAGCCCATATCGTGTTGAAACGCTTGCATGCATCCAACGACGAAGCCTCCATCGAGCGCGTTGCCAAGGAATTTCACCAAATTCGACGGCAAGTCGAACAAGATCAAGAGAGCCAGGATGGCATCGTCTGGTACGAGCTTTTGCGGACTGCACCAAATCGCAAGAGGACCATCATCGCCATGATTCTCATGTGGGGGGCCCAGCTCACCGGAACCCTTGTTCTAGCCAACTATGGCGTTCTCCTGTTCATCAGTCTTGGCCTGAAGGGTTACATGCCATTGCTCCTTCTCGGAATCTGGGTTACAGTTGGCTTCCTCGGAAACATCATTACGGCACTTTTTCTCGACCGCTTCGGCCGCCGCAAGTTTCTTCTCGTGGGAATCTCTGGCATCCTGGTCTCGCTCATTTGTGAATGCGCCTTGCAGGCCAGATATCTCGGTACAGACAACATTGCAGGTCTGAATGCTGCCGTCTTTTTCATCTATCTCTTCATCGCATTTTTTGGGTGCTGCATAGATGCGACGCAGTTCGTGTATCTGACAGAGATCTTCCCGAACCACATTCGCAGCCAGGGAAGCGCCTTTGGCGTCGTCAACAGCGCTCTAGCATCGCTGGTCATGCTCATGGTCGCACCGATTGCCCTGGAGAAAATCACCTGGAGGTTCTTCCTTGTTCTCATTGTACCTACAGCATGCTACCTGTTGGTCATTTTTCTCTACTTCCCCGAGACTTCCAAGAAGTCTCTCGAAGATATTAACGAGGCCTTTGGCGAGAAAGTGGCTGTCCACTACACCCACGCTACCCGGGCTGAGGAAGAGGAGTACAGAAAGGCTGCCGACCATGAGATGGATTCCAACATCAATAGTACGCCAAAAGATGATAGCGTCGTACATCATGTGGAAAGGTCTTCAGGTTATGTTTAATGGTCCAAAGTTGGAGGACTACGATGGAACGACTATCGAAACTAGACATGTGTTTGGAAGTGTGAATGAGTGAGCACACTCGCAGATTTTTTTGACATGGACGCTTGCTTTCGGTTACCTTGTTTCGAGCTGGATGCTTCGAGAATCTTTTTGGCAGCCCTGAGCTTTTGTCCAGCTAATGTTCGAATGCACTGGAAATCCTAGATGGCATTTTGCCTACCATTCTTACTTCATCTAACGAAGGGTTATCTCAACGTGCTGCTGTCTGATGACAATCGAGATGTTCACCGATGGTCAGGAGAGCTGGCAAATATGTTGTGTCTGAGGCAGAAACTCAGATGAGAGAAAATCATGCAGACGTTGGAGCAGACTCGTTTCCTCAACTCGGAGCATAGGACATGAGGCAAGTCGTAGTAACCTGAGCTAGAGGCATTGTCTATCAGAACCGGAATCAGAGAATCCACGTCTGCCCAAGCACTTCCAAATAGTGGCTCGCTGACCATTCCCACTTCTGGCTGGCTATTATTGGCCATGAGAAGCCCATCTGCTATGACAGGCCAGGTATCATAGGAGCCCAAGAATGGTGTGAGCGACTGAGTTTGGTCGGCACATAGGGCATTGAGGGGTTTAGCTGAAGATGTTCTCCTAGCTCGGCGCTTCGAGCTCGGACCGCCAACCAGTGTCGTCGAACTCTCACAGCTTTGCGATCCTTGTCGTGATGTAGAGCCAGAGTTCAACCTGAGCATGGGGATCTTGGTATTCATTCTGTCCAGCACCATCTCCAGGAACCGGACCGCGTAGTCTGCTCAGACGTACATATCTTGAAGCTCGCTCAAGACGTGGAAACATTGATAACGACGGCCATCGTCCAGCTGGTTGACATCACCTTCGATAGCATTGATCTCTATGAGAACGGTGTCGTCACGGGGTCCGGGGAGTATGAGTTTGACATGGTCATCTTTGCTCTAGGCTTTGACGCCGGCACTGGGGCTCTCAGCGAGATAGATGTCAAAGGGTCCCAAGGAAGGTCGCTCAAAAAATGTTGGACATCCAAGGTTGATACCTTCGCTGGTACACTGATCCCCGGGTTCCCCGACACGTTCTCAGTTTGTGGACCCCAAGTGCCTTTCGGGAATATGCCAGTGGTGGTGGATATTCAGTTGGGATGGATCGGGAAGACCATTCGTTTCATGCAACAGAATAGCTTCTCGAAGATCGACGTCAGGGGGGAGGCGGCGGATGCGTGGAATGCGCATCTCAGGGAGGGTTTCTCCGGTTTGCTCACTTCAAGGACTCCGAGACGCATGAGGCCTGGTTTTTCGGGGCAAACATGCCTAAGAAGCCCACGTTTATTCTTTTCTACTTAAGTGGTGTTCCGGCGTGGTCGTCTTGGCTGCAAAGCGAAGTGAAGTCTTTATGGGTCAACATGCAGTTTTCTCCCCGTCGAGCATTCGAGAGGGCCAGTCGAGGGGACGGCAAACTAGTGCCTTCATTGTAAACAGGAAATGCAATAATCATTTAGGAAACATTGAAGACTGCTTGTAGAACAGCTGTGCAGCGATTGTCTGCTTGAATCGATTTGGTTCCTCGCTCATGCCAATTTTGGTCAATATTTCACATACTGCGTTAAAGAGTCCCATCTCCTCCGTACGGCAGTTCAATATCAGTTCAACTGATCTAGTGACTCATGACTACTCTTTCAGCCTAGCATATTCGGTTCATACCTTTCTATCTAACGTTGTGTTTCACTCTGTGAATTCTATCCAAACTACATCACAAACCTCTCGGGCCCAGTAAGAGTGACAGACTAATGGCACCATACCATTTCTGGCTATTTGGAGTATTTCAATAGTTGCCGAGGATTCTTGGCTAAAAGACGTATCAAGTATTGTCAGTAAAGATATGTGATAAGCTCGGGGAATCCCCCACCTGAATACGCCCGATCCCTCGGCTACTTGATCGAACCAACGGGACTGAGTGGTAAGTGGGCAGGCTTTTGACGTCAAGCAGGCCATCCCAATCGTTGCCAGATTACTAGAACGTCCAACTGCTGTTCTTCCATATATTTGCAGCGGCAAGAAGCTTAGTCGCGTGAAAACACTGAAGGTAGTGCCTTTTCGTCAGCCAGTCGCCTACAGAGTTCCCTAGCACTGCATTCATATCAGAGTTGAAACTACCATTTACAAACAAACATGACATCTTCACCTCCTCAGAGCAACGGATTCGGCCAGTTGAAAAGGCTAGATGTTCTCATCGTTGGTCCTGGTTTCGGCGGATACTACAGCCTCTATAAACTTCGTAAGCTTGGGCTCAATGTCCATGTGTACGAGGCAGGCTCAGCATTGGGGGGTGTCTAGTATTGGAACACCTACCGCGGAGCCCTCGTCGACTCGGAAATGCCGTTTTACCAGTTCTCCATTCCTAAGGTTTGGCGCAAGTGGAACTGGTCTGAGAGGTTCCCAAGTGGAGAAGAGCCGAGGGCCTACTTCAAACACCTCGATAAGATACTGGATCTGTCTAAAGATATCACCTACAAAGCTGTTGTCAGTCATGCAAGCTACAAGGAGGCCTTTGGGGAATGGGCGGTGACGACTGAGAACGGCCATAAGGCCGTTTGCAAGTATCTCGTCTGTGCTACTGGCAGTTGTTTCAAGCCGCATTACCCCAGTTTCCGAAATCTAGACAACTACAAAGGACAACTCATCCATTCAACCCGGTGGCCAACTGATGCCAAAGTTGTGGGCAAACGAGTGGCCATCATTGGCTCAGGCGCAACGGCTGTACAGTGCACTCAAGAGATCTCAAAGGTGGCAGAGCATCTGACAGTCTACATTCGCACCGCCAGTATCTCACTCACCATGGTTCAGCGTCCCTTGAGTGACCTTGAGCAGGCAATAGGCAAATCCACCTACCGGAGGAGGTTTGAACATTGCCGGAATAGCCATTCAGGTCTCGGATACGATATACGGCCCGGGTCCGTGCTTGAATTGAGTGATGCTGAACGGGGAGAACTTTGGGAAGAGCTTTGGAATCATGACGGTCTTAACTTCAATCAGGCGAATTACCGAGACTTTCTTGTTGACGAGAAGCCCGACAGACTCATGTACGACTTCTGGGCAAAGAAGGCCCGCCCAAGAGTCAAGAATCCCGCTAAGGCCGCATTCCTTGTATCTGAGAAAGCACCTTTCGCATTTGGGACCAAGAGGAGCAGTCTTGAGTAGGACTACTAGGAGTGTCTCGATAGAGACACTGTAAGCATCGTTGACCTCAAAGCTACTCCGATACGAGAGTTTACAGAGAGGGGAATTACATGCGAAGACGGATCCGAGCTCGAATTCGACACTATTGTAATGGCGACAGGCTTCGACGCCATGACAGGGAGTCTCACCAAGATGAATATTCAAGGAAGAGATGGCATCACCTTTTCAGACCGGTGGAAAGACGGCGTCTTCAACCAAACCTTTGCTACCTTCCGGCTGTTAACATGTCTTTTTAGCACCCACGGCGTTTAGCAATGGACCTCCATTCATTGAGAGTCAGGTTGACATGATTGCGGAACTTCTCCATAAGCTCCAGAAAAAGGGTGTCAAGTCCATTGAAGCACAGCGGGATGTCGAGGAGAAGTGGAAGCAGGCAATCCAGGCTGCCAATGGCAAGACCTTAATGCCCTTGACCGACTCGTGGTATAACGGAGCCAACATCCCAGGCAAGAAGAGAGAGCAATTGATATACCTAGGTGGAGTTAAGAAATATCAAGAGGGATGCCGAGAGGCACTAGCAACTCTAGCGGGGTTTGATATTGTACTTGATGAGGGGAGGAAAGGTTCAACGGTAGCATCATAGTGTTTGAGCCATGCCTTTCTCCTACAAATCGCACTCTGAGTGTTTCTTGGTATCAAGACTTGCCAGAGTGGAGGAAAAAAAGGATTCGGTCACTCCTTAATTCATACACGACCAATAAAATCACGTTGCTATTCTAAGGACGCATGCCCTGAGTCAGAATAGGGCGTGGGTTGCGGAAAGAAAAGGGGTAGCCGCGTCTAGTTGCAACTATAACACACGCCTCTCATGCGCTGCAAAGACTTCTAAAAAGAGGCTTTATCGTTTTTCGGCGTCGATTGCATTGGTTTCTGCATGCAAGTGAGAAGCGTCATTCCTCAGGTCTCCAGCTCTAGTCGTCTCTTGTGTCCCACCAAAATAGATCACGACAAAGGCCAAAAACTTCCAAAACATACAACACCAGGTATTCGCTGGTCGTCACCGACCCAACTACTAATCCGGCCCTCATTGGCTTATCTATGGGAGAGCGGACGGGATCCCGAGTTTTCCAATGGGTATGGTCGTATGTGATGGTTGAAGCTCGTGATGATGCTGATAGCCCCTTTTACGGTGAGATCACTTGGTGTTTACTCAAGACAACGCCCACAACGGTACACCATAACTTCATAAGAGATTTGAGGCATCAAATACTGGAAGTAACCATGAGAATGCTCGTAACAATTCTGTTTCATGACAATATGCCTCGTGGAGAAGGTGTTCGTTGGGAAAACCGGGTTCTGGGGCACCCAGCGGCGTTTCTAAGTCTCAAGACTGATTATCTTGATCTAGCAGTCAATGCAACGATCTCTACAGCTTACCTCTCGTAGAAGCACTGGCAATGTCTTGGCAACATATTTGTCAGGCTTCGGAACAGCCCGAAACAAGCGCAGGATACACGGAGTTATTCAAGCAGATCACCCTTGCTATTCTGCCTTTGAGGCTGAAGCTGCATGCACCTGAACACAGGAACAAGTTCTGTACGTCTTTCTCCAAGTTTGGAAACACACAAATTTCTTGTCTTGTCCAATCTATGGGCTTTTTAACCTGTGTTCAGCGCCAATGACTCAAGAGCCCGACTTGTTGGCTGGCTCTCAATCGCAAAGAGCACCTTTTAAACAAATGCAGTGTGTGCTTGCTCGTCGCTCGAGGTAAGGTAGTTAACGCAGGATTGCAACTCTACATCCTGATTCCTCTCTCTCTTCAATCGAGGTCTTTGGTTACAGAATAGTCCGCCTGGACGCCCTCCAGGCAACCTCAGCAACAATTCTAAGCAGTCTACCGATCAACAGCGATTCTGTGCGGGAAAAGCTTTCGTTCAAGGGAACGTTCAAGTCGTAGCCAGCGAACTTGATCAGCTACAGTCCTGAAGTCGCCCAAACATATGTCCCCAACGCAGAGCATGTCCTCGTCAAAGTTGAACCAGACATGGCACTCTTACTGCGGAATACTCTCGAGCACCGAGGCAATTCTGTCATGTGGTGTCGTGGTGATCTGAGGAAATGCCTTTCTGGATCAACAAGGTATCTAATATCACAATATGCAGCCATGTACTCACGAGCCTCGCGGTACGTCTGTAGGCCGTGGCTAGGCCAGGGCAATTGGGTTCTTGTGATACTTGCAAAAGAGCTGCAGATCTATATGATACCAATGAGAAGTAAAGCCGCTAAGATCGAGTAGATTTGTTTCGCAAAGTATCGGATGAACTCGAAAGAGTTGTCCCATTAATTGTGGGTTAGATCGAGTGCAAGGACGCGGCATCGGCCCAATTGCTGGCCCGATACGGAACATATATTAGGTGCCAAGACAACCCTGCCCAATCAAGGTTGCACTACAGTTTTTTATGTGCCTTGCGGGTTCGTATTCGTTCTTCGTCATCGTATACGGGATTTATTCGACTCGGGTCCCACAGCCAGCTCTCCAAAATACAATCGAGCGTCGTGAAGTATTGTAGTAGTTTAGCAGACGAGGTAACTATTGGACCTACGTTTACAGGTAGGTATTTGGAGGGTTGTGCAGCCTGGAGGGCGCTATGCTGAAACTTCCAGTCCGACAATTGGCAATTCAACTTTGTTGGTATTATTCCTGGTAAGCTGAGATGATGTTTCTGACACCCAAGAGCCTCTCGGGTTTTCTCGTTTGCTGCATATAGTTCTTCGCAAGCTTGTAGCTAACTATCGTCCATGGCGAAGAGCCCTACATAAGCATCGACTGTCTTCCAGAGATATACACGAGGCTGCTATATTATTCAAGTGCTTCTCGTGATTATCGGCACGTGTCGAACTCTTCTGTCGAAATTGAAAACATGATGGGCCAGAGCAGTATTGGTGTCCATGATTTTAATTGGATAGATTGCCTGGCCGACGACTACCGCACAGTGGATCTCGTCTTTACTTCGGCTGACAGCTAGTCAAGTATCCAACATGATATGTTGAGTTTACTGGTAAGATGATAAGAATGGGTCATCGAAATTGCCTCTACTCCCTGAGCCACTTGAGTTACTACATGGAGCGATGACATCCCACCGGAGCAACTGTCTACCGGCGGTATGGTCGGACAGTCGACGAGATCAACGCGCTGTCGAAAACAGATAAGATCTCAGGAGTTGTCATCAGAGGTCGTGGCTATCCATAGCTTGACACCATTTTCCGGCTACTGAACTTTGACTTACTACAGCGGCTCTTCTATCCTACACGATGCATGCTCTCTACTTCTTACTGGTGGGTTTGGCCACGGCTGCTGTTGTCACAGAGACACCACGCGCAGAGAAGGCGACCAAGGTCTGCCAGGGCCTCCGAGGTGATTTTGGCAACTCAACTCTTCTTCCTGAAGAAGGAGCTTACACTCAGGAAGTCCAAGGTGAGTCCAACGTCCTGTGAACTCTTCTAAGCCCAGAAGTGAAATTGACATGGCACCCAATATCCAGTTCCGTGGTCCGCGAGGTCTTGGCTCCGTCCGGCCTGCATATTTGCACCACTCGACGCTCAGCAACTATCATCTGGCCTTCAGCGCATCGTGGACCAGCAAGTCGAATTCGCCATGCGGGGAGGAGGGCACATGCCCATATCCAACGCAAGCAGCATCGGCGCCACCGGTATCCTGATATCGAGCACGAACATGAGGACCCTTCAACTCTCCGACGACCGCGAAACGTTGAACATTGGCCCTGGTCTCCGGTGGCCCGACGTGTACACGGCGCTCGACGGTACGGAAGTCACTGTCCTCGGCGGTCGAGGCAGCCCAATCGGCGTGTCCGGTCTTTTGCTGGGAGGCGGCATCTCCTTCTTCAGCTACGAGTATGGACTGGCGTCGACCAACGGCAACATCAAGGCATATGAGGTGTGTGAAACACGCCGCGCGAGCACTCTGAGTTCTGAGATTACTGACACAAGAGGGCAAGTGCGTCTTGGCTGATGGCAGCATCGTGCAAGCTACCCCATCCAACAACCACGCGGATCTCTTCTGGGCGCTACAGGGAGGCGGAAACTCGTTCTGTTTAGTCACCCGCTTCGATCTCCAGACACACCATGCCCCGTCCGTGATGATCGCGTCGCCCTCGTACGGCGGCGAAGAGGTCAAGCAACAATTCATCGACAGCGTATACAACTTCGCCGTCGGCGGGCACAATGATCCCAAGGCTGCCGTTCTACCCGTCATCATCTACGTCAGCGGAACGGCTGGGCCGACGTACTCCTCGACGCTCTTCTATAACGGAAATTCCACTCATCCGGCCATCTTGGGGGACTTCCTCGACGACATCCTCACCCCGAACAACAGCTCAAGATCCCTCGCCCCGTTTCCCATGGGGCGTTACCACCAGGCCATCGAGCCATCCTTCCAAGAGGGCGGCCGCTCCTACGGTTCCAGACAGCGGTTCCACATGCTCCCCATCTACGCCAATAAGGAGGCCATGCTCATCGCCCACGACATGTTCTTCGAGCTCGCGAACGCCACCTTTAAGGATACGCCTGGCGGCATCATCGGCTTCGCCTTCAACCCCATCACGTCGGCCTTTCTCGCAGCCACAAACGCCCGACCGGGTGCGTTGCAGGGCATCGACGAGTCGCCTGCGTGCTGGATCGAGCAGACGTACAGCTGGACGGACGAGGCGGACGACCAAGTCTTTGATACCTTTATCAGCGAGTTCAACACCAGAATCAGGGAGACGTTAGAACCCATGGGGGCGATGTATCCGTTCTACTATCTGAACGAGGCAGACGTCGGCCAGCCTGTCTTTGAGAGCTATCCCGCGGGGAACCTGGACCGCCTAAAGGAGATTCGCAACAAGTATGACCCTGCTAGGGTATCTACGGATCTGATGCCGGGAGGTTTCAAGGTTGCCGACGCTTGAGCGGTGGCCGGTACATGCGAAAGTAGGACTAGCGCGTGCGGATGTGATGAACAGGACATGTGGGTTGGAATCTGCGACTAGGCCAAGTCGTTGTTGCTCCATCCATGATGTTATCTACCATGCGAGATGCTTGATGGCGCCGATGTGAGCTTGATTGGCGATCCTCCCCTCCCCTGGGGGCAAAGTGAGTCAGGGGCTTCACGAGAGCTCATTAGTACAGATACTTTCCTAACCGTTAATCTCCCAAAGTGATAACGAAACCGGTCTGGCAACGTCCGAATGACCCTTGCCCTGAATGGTCTGATCTATGAACTGCTCAAAGAGGTGAATCTTCGGTGATGATGCTTTCTACAGGAAGAACACCGGTGACGGGGCGATGTTGAGGTGGACCAAGGGCGTTACTGTCTAGCATAGTCATTGAAAAATGACCGGATGATGGGAAGCACGCAATGTTCGTAAATCAAGCGATGCGTTATACTTACCGTTCCGTTGTCCTGGACCTCAGTTGTTACGTCCACTAGGCTCCAACCTCACACATAGGGAGACATCACTGTGGGCGTGCTCGAGTACTTGCATTTGTCTTTGGGACTCTATTCGGGATATCTCGACGTGACTTTTGGGGTGGTCTATGATCATCAAAACCGACATGAACTCCATTACCAGCCGCCGTATATAC